CCAAATTTGGTCAAGTGATAGCTTTCAGAAAAATTGTCATTTGCACTTAAGAACTATGTCTCTGAAGATTCTCCCTCTCCTCTGAAAGACTTGGCTTTAGTTTTTCACTTCAAATATTGTAGATTGCATCCCCGAAGGAAGTGAAATTGCTTCTGATGGATGCAGTAGTGGGAGGAGAGATCAAATTTTCACTTAAAGCATAACAGATTTTGCACAAGATATTGTGGTGTTAGTGAGGTGGCAAAGTGAAGTTCTTGAAATTTGAGGATGCCAAGATAAAGATGGCTTACGCAATCTCCTTTTGCCATTCTTGTGGAAGAGCCACTTGTGCAGCTCTGCAGAGGACTTCTGGTGTTCCTGGCTCATTCAAAGTATCATTTCAAAATCAGCCAGGTATTATTGCTGTAGAGAAGGGGGTTCCATCCCTGCCGTACTGGGAATCGTCATCACCATCACAAATTGCTGTCATTGTGTTTCAGATATGACTGACTTCTGCTCTTCAGCATGAGATTCTCAATCTTCCTTGCAAAACCATTACATGCTCACAGCTGAAACTGAAGTCAGTCAAAACACAGAAGGCGAAATAGCGCCAAATATTCTGAAAAGCAGGGTGCTTTAAATGGAGTTGCCCCGATCAGCAATACTTAGGACTTTTTTCTCTTTGCTTCAGTTCTCTACCTGTTGAAAGGGAATAATGCCACATCTCCCCTGGATTGCTATGAAATTATTTTGTTGGTGAAGCATGTGAATAGCGTAACGATAAGCAGGGCAGGAAAGCCTGGAGATTAATATTTCTGCTGTCAGAGTAGGAAATAAGCCAGAGACTGCAAGCTGCATGAGAATGGGGAAAAAAAAAAAAAAAAACCAAAACAAAACCACCAAACCCCACAAAACCAGCACAGCTGTTCTGTAATCACGTACCTCCTATTCTGTTCAGTGAATGTGTCTAATCCTGTGAGGGGAAAAAAGTATGTGAACACAGTACACATTTGAAAAGTTATCATAATGTATATTTATTGGGTAAACAATTAGAAGGTTGGATAAACCCCATTAATTCTGGACTTTCCTATCCTTTGAGTTCTACACTATGGAAACTTGATTTATCTCAATTATTTTTGTGTATCTGTTAGGAACAGATGAGTGCTAATAGATTGTTTGCACATACAGGTGTGGGTAAACTGGTTGAGTGTTAAGAGCAGAAACTAATGGGATTTTGAATTTAAGCTAAAATATCATATGTTCTGTCAACATGGGATTACTTGTGGTGATTTATGTGTGTTGAGGATTAACAGTATGGCTGATAGAGTTGTTAAAAGCTAGCTTGGAGCAGAATTGGTCTAGCCAGGTCCATCTGGGATCAGGATTTGTGTGACAGATATTTGCAATTACTTGAAAGTCCCTGCACTGCATTCCCAATGTTTCCTGCTTTCCTCTTGAGGTATCCTCACCCTCTGAGACAGTGGAGAAAGGACTGTAAAAAGTGTGTTGGTTGGTTTGTTTCTTCCTAGTGTGTTTTAGCATAGTTTTATGTTATTGTCAAGTATGTATCTTTAGGATTTTCCTTTAGGATACTTTCTTAGATCAAAGTGTTAACCACAGCAAAGACCCTAGTGTCAACGTATGGTGTGCTGTATCTGCAGCCACTGTTCCACTTGGAATAGCGTTGTCTTCCACTTTGAAATACAGTGTGAGGAAAAAAAGACTGTTCATCCATATGGTACCAATTTAATGGAATACCATTAGAAAACTGCTTTCATCCAGTTTGCTTTCTGTTTTCTTTTTTTAGTGCTTTCCTGAAACTTGCATTCATGTCATTGTCTTCAGTGTCAGTTGAGCACACAAGCACTGGAACAGACACTTACCTGCCAAAAGGGAAAACAGGTTTAGAAATAGCTGTCTCTGCAGCGCTGTCATCTTTCCTGGCTATACTAATATTTAATTCAGTGTGCATGGAGTCCCTGCCTTGGGGACAGCATGGCAGATGATGCTGCCTTTGCTTTACCTCAAGCTTTTTTTTAAGTGAGGAACAATGTACTATAACATTAGGAGTTGCTTTCCCAGTTGGTACCATAGTGTCAGGTTGCTTTTGTGAGAAGGACTCTAACTTAGTTTTATGAGGGCAAGTTCTTGAAAGATTTGAACAGAAAAGACTTTGCAGTTCTCTTTAGTGTCTGAATGAGGATTTTATAGAGGTTCCTAGGTGTCTGTAGTGTGTGTGTGAAAAAACAGATGCCAGAAGACTGCTGCACAGTTGTTTGTTAGGTTTCTAGGATTCTGTAAAAATTGCTGCTTACATGAAATTTTAGGTTGATGCAGGCAGTCAGTTTTTGAAGGAGACAACTACTGATGCAGAAGGTTGTATCAAGCTAACAATCATCCTGGTCCTTGGGTTAGAAAGAGGAGATGAATGACACATCACAAAAACATGATCATAGTACTCATGTGTGGAGGAAATGCATCCAAATAGTAACTGAAATATAAGTGGAAGATAATGAGGTTATCCTCACAATTAATTACAAGTATATTGAAAATGGAACAATAATTTATTTTTAATGATGTGACTCTGAATAGGATGTTCTTAGAAAGCCTTGGGTGAATACAAGGGTGCAGCCAGTGGGCAGCTGGGGTGGTGGGACTTCAGGGACGGGACGTTCAGAAGCAGCATTGGGTTTGTCTTCCTCTGGTGTGGTTTCTGTCAGCTGACTAGTTGCAGAAATCAGTAGAAGGTGAAGGAGGCAGTAAATTTCCCACCTACCAAGTTATCTGTCGCCCACAAAGGCTAGAAGACTGAACTGCGAGGAAATTATAATCCTTTTCCTTCAGCCAGCCCAGGCGAGGGAGCGTACCGTGCTCGAGGGCTGTGATGGTGCATCTGAGGCACCATGTAGGGATGGGGTGGCACTGCCCTGTTCAACCTGCCCTGCTTTCTAAAGCAAAATTTCAGGCTTTTCTTTAAACTTCTCCCAAGCACTGCAGGGTCTGTCACTATTCAAAGATTTGCATTTAAATTAAAGAAGAGAACGTGTCATTCCACCAGGCTGGCATTTCTCTTCAAAAAGAGATAACCCATCAAAATGGGGGAAATCCCCCAAACTTCTTATTTGACACCAACCATCACCTGTAGTAATGGTATTTCAGCTGATATTTTGCTAGAGGCAGACTCTGGTGCTGGGGTTGGTACACAAAACCTGTCAGTTTTTCTAAAAAAATGACAAGGTTAGCAGATGACTTTGTTAAAGTGAATTTCCTTGGTGTTGATACAGTAAAACAAGGCAAGACTGGGTAATGCGGTGAGGCATGCTGAAGGATAACTGGTCCCTTTTTGGCATGGCATGGCATCCCAGAAAACTAACTGGGAGAATGAAAGAGGAATATGTACCTGAAGTGTCCAAAGATTTTACAGAATCTGGAAATAAGTCTTAAAGCTCACTATAGTTCTTACGCAAAATGTACTTCGCTGACAGTAAATATTGACTGGTGGAGGTGTATCTTTTAATTTTCTTTGTAAAAGAATTCTCCAGTGTGTTAACTGTAAGTGGAGTATTGCTTGCTGTAGTTTGTGTTTCTTGTGGTTTGCCTGTTTGAGCATGCCCCTGCCGTTCTGGTAGTCACACCGTTCATTTTGGGACCCAAGCCATCGGGACACTTCCTCTCCTCAAGCTGTGTAAGAATTCCTGAGAAAAGTTGTGATAGTGAACAACCCAGTCAACCAGTGCATCTTATGTCATTACAGTGTTGATTCTCCGTGCATAGTGTGTTTACATAGTTTCTGGCTTCAGAAGAGAAGATTATACAGAACAGTTGTGGCTAGAGCTAATTTTGTGTCTTAAAAGATGTGAACTTTCCTATATATCTATATGATAGTTCTGCAAAAGGCACTGGAGAGTGTCTCCGGGACTCAGAAAGGCTGCACAGAGGAACGGTTCTGGTATGTTGAAGGCAGCTTTTGTCCAAAATTCTCACCTTGAAAGCTGCCTGTATTTAGCTGGGCTGTTCAGTATGTGAAGCAGGTATTGGCAAGTAGCTTTTCAAGGAATGCTGGATGATTTTTACCAGATGTGTTCCAAAAACAGATGTGGAAGGCAGAGTCAGTCGCTCAGTTTTTGGTGGTTAATCTAGTGCATATTTTTGCTCTGTTTATTCTGAACATAATTCCAGAAGCAGAGTTGTGCAAGCAAATCAGAGAAGCAACATGCCACTTCACTGAAAGTGTGCGGCTAACTGCTAGGAAAATGAAGAAAAACAAGAGAAAAATTCAGAGAAAATAGTGTTTCCATAGTAAAAGCAATAAATAAATACTAAATAAAAATAACATTAATTTATACATTGCCATCCTGCTTATTTTCAGAAGAGCTTTTATGGTATATTTTCAGGGAATATAGGCAACTGTTAAGTGAAAACTTAAAGTTTTGAGTCCTTAGTGAAGCTGTTTTTGAAAGTATCTGCACTTAATAATAGCTGTGCATGTGCATAGTATGTGCTTCTTTTTAGCTGCAAAGTACCATTCATTACTCTGATATGCAGTGCCTTTCAGATTTATTTTCTAAACCATTAAGCCATCTTAATCTAGAATCACCATAGAATGGTATTTTTAAAAGGTGATGTTTTGATGTGAATAATGGGAGTAGAATTTTAGATTCTCCCTTTAGGTTCTTCCTCTTTCCTCCAGATAACTTTATGTTCTTACCTTTATGGCATTGATGGTGATACTGTCTTCACAAGGTATAAAATGATACTAAAAATCAAATAATTTACCATACACTGAATGTTAGGAAAAAAATATTTACATTTGGTGAACATTCCTATTGGTTGAGTTACCAAGGCTGTTAAATAAAGTGGAGTGTAAAGGTACAAGTGTGTGTGTGTGTGTGTGCACGCGGATGTGTGGCTGAAAAATTTCCTTATTTTCCATTTGTTCTATCCACTCCTAAGTAGAAGGATATTTATTGCTGCAGTCATACAGATGTTAATACACTTTTTTCCATCTGACTTTCTTCTAGCACACTGATTTATGTCAGTACATGGACAAACACCCTGGCGGGCTTCATCCAGAAAATGTGAAGGTAAGAGTCAAAAAGAGCACACATTCAAGGCAAATACAGTAACACTAACTTTGTATAAAATGTCATGTCAGTTGTTTCATAGAAACTGATTATTAGCTAAAGGGAAAATGATTGGCATATGAACTATATTAAAATATTTTTTCTTTAAAAAGAATTGAAAATGCAAGTATTTGAACATTCCCACAGAAGTAGTCTGTAAAATTGGTTCAGAGGCAGAATGTATGAGTAAATACTGTTAGTGTTGGTAACCCCTCCCCTCCATTCATACATTTGCTTTGTAGACAAGACATTACTGACCTAAAACCCCTGAGTAAACTTGCTTTAGGCTGTCAGTGCTAGATCCTCAGTGAGGTGGGTTACTGTAGGTTCACTGACTTTGAGGGAAATATAAGGAATTATATTAGCTGAATGTGCTGGGTTTTATATGAGCATATAAAATCTTCCCTAACCTTTTGCTCACTTATTTTGATGAAGCATTTTCGTAGCTGATCTCACTTCTTAAAAATGCTTTTCTTCTAAGGTAGATACTGAGAACATTACACAGGAAGGAGGGGATTTATTAGCAGGATTTAATGGAAAGATAGATTGGTAGAGACTTGATCCAGTTACTTTCTGGAAGTCAGCCAAAAGATTTTAGCATTAAATGGAATCCAGTCAGACATGCAGAATGTGTCCTGTGTATACAAATCACCCAGATGATTTTTGTTACCCTTTTCTTGCACTTTGACATCCATCCCATTGTTGTTCTACTTTGGAAGTGTTTAAATCTTCGCTTGTCATATTGAGAGCTTTATTCCAATACTTAGTTTCTTGAAATTGAGAAGTTCATGGAAAAAGTCAAACCTCTTTCCTGGAAAACTCAGAAGGCCTGTTTAGCTTAAGAAAAGAAAATATTTTAAAAAGAGGAAAGATTTTTTTTTTTTCTTGCAGCAGCTGATCATTGTTGTACATAAACTAGTTTTATAATGCAGATTGATTCATTTTCTGTGTCCTTTCACAGAAAAGTGGCATCTACAACATCTGAAGTTAAATGAGAATGGCTATTATCTAAAACAAAAAAATCAGAGCAATTCTTCCTTACTGCACGTATTTGGCTGAACTACAAAAAAAAAAAAAACCCACCAAACTGAAAAAACATGATATGTATGCTGCGGGACAGCGTCCTTGCAGTGTACGACTGCCACTCAGACGTTTTGCTAGGGTGGACAGGGAAAGCCCATGGGTCTCCTCACAGTGCCACTGTGAGTGCGGCACTTTGAAACGGCTGAAGGTGGGTGAGGTGGGACCTGCTTTTCGCCCACTGAAATTGTTGAGCTTTCTTCACTGCTCAGTTTCATGTGCTGAATGTGCTTGTTAAAGCAGTGGGCCTGTGTTTCATTTCCCTGCCTGGATACTTTTACATTTGGCTCTCTGAGGTTTGGGATAAGGTAAGACTGGTTTGGAAAGCCCTTTGTGCTGCTTTGGATTTGTAAGACTACTCCAAGGCTGCAGTGCTGTACAGCTCAAGATCTCATACGCCATAGTCATTGTAGCCGTAATTGTTCCCCGCTGAGAAGACATCAGAATTCACGTAACTGTACTTTTTCTTGATCATATCAGGACCCAGTGAGCTTGTCTTTGAGGAGGATAGGCATACATGGATAATTAGGCTTGCTAATGCATCACTCCTCTAAACCCTGAGACCTGTCTTCTAAACAGGAGCTGCGGAGGGAACTGCAGCAGCAGCATTTCTCTTTCAAGTTCTGCTGCATGTATTCCTGTGGCTCTCTTTACCATGTGACAGCGGCATTCAGGAACACTTCTGAAGCTTATGGGCACATTAGAAGTACTTCTTTGAGTAGCCAAGTGTAGAGTCCTGATGTATTGCTAGTTTAAGCTTTTTCAAGTCCAGACCGATTATTATTATAAAGAAAACTGGGGAGAAAAAGAGAAAAAACAATGGAAGTTGGAGCAGATCAAGCACTTGCTTAGCCCAACAGAGTGATTTCTTCAGCTGGGATGACAGGAATTGCAGAGAGAAGGGCAGTCAGTCATATACGCTAACAACTCCCAGACATTCACCAGCATGCAACACTAGAAGTTTGTGCCCCTCTATCCTTACGGAGGAGGTGAGATGGTTACTACATAATATCTTAATGTTTTATTGCACTGGATATGGTTTGTTGACTTATGTAATTGTGGTTCTGAGATGTTGCCACCTATTTTGGTTTTAGCTTCTGGACAAAGTTGTCTTTCTGGAGCTACAGCTGATTTTTAAGGGTTGAGCTGAGCCATGTTAATTAGCCTTCTCTCCCTGCCGGCCCCTTCTTGCTAGAGGTCTTTCAGGAATTTCACTTTTCAGTCAGACTTTTAGACAATGTTTGTTCACAATCACTGGTTATGTGATCCCTAAATCCGTTTTTAAAAACTTCCAGTTGAGCAATTACATTTCAGTAGCAATGCATTAGTCTTGGCTCTCTGGGGCTAACCTGTGGGATTAAACCATTGATGCTCTCCCAGTATGACAGGAAGCCCCTTGTCTTTTAATTTTGTTCTTGAGGAAAGTATTGCCTACTGATGGATATTCCTTTCTGGCTTGTTGCCAGTTATTACAAATTCAAAGTCACATAATCACACATACTGCTTTTTCCAAAGAATACTACACAGTAGTTCCTGTAAAACAGTACTTTATAGGAATGCAGAAGCATTATTTACTTATGTTTGAGTTTCTGTAGGATATCTTCAGCCTAATTATATTTCTGTTTTTCTCCGTATTTACAAGCTAAAGACAGTGCTTGTTCCCTCAGGCTTATTTTTAGACGAAGAACCGTAAATAGAATAAAATCCAAATTACTTTGATGGCCACACGTATTGCTGTCCCCTTGGGTGTTGTGTTTGACATTGCCTTTTCTTTGTGGCTTGAAATAGAGTATTTGCTGTCATTTAAACATTTTAAAGAAAGAGTAAGAAGAAAATTATAAGCACATGGAATTGTAAAGAAGAAAGTTTAATTTGACAGTTGTGGGAGTCTTGGGACAGTATGCTTAAGCAAAGAAAAAATATTGCTTCCTGAAGTATTAGGTTTAGCATTTTTAGTGGATTGTCTGTATCCACACCTAATGATTTCAGAATTGTAATTCATATGTGAAGGCCCAGTCTTACAAATAACATCAGGTCTTAAACCCTTCAGAGGGGTGAGGCTGAGATGTTATTGTCTAAAGTTGTTTTTAAAATACCTATCCCTGAGAATTCTAAACCAAGTATCCTGGTGACATAAACGTGGTTAGGTACCTGCAGCATCTTTCTCGACGAGAAGGGAGATGCCAGAAAGGGGTTGTTTTAATCCAAAGATTTGCCAAACTCTGTTAGCTCTGAGTACACAGTTGTATACATCTTTGGTAACTAACAAGCCTGCATATCTACCATTTATTTATAACTATATATTAATATACTGTGTACAGTATTATAGTTGGAGCTGAGGAAAGAAAAGGGCATCAGTTAATAAGTCCCTGTTTAGTAGGCCCAGCCTCATTTTCTGTTCTCCTGTTTTGAAGATGTCTTTCTCAGTTTTTCCAGAATTGAAGGCAAGCAATATATCTTAAGTACATAGCCCCACGTATAATTATGTTTCTGTTAGAAGCAGTTGTTGCAGCCTTGTACATGGTTGGAGGTAAGAGTTGATTTATAGGTGTATACCGTGCGGTGCTCGCCAAGCTCCAAAATGTGCTGTGGCAAGATGAGGTACAAAGCTTGCTCCTGACTCTCCCTGCGCTGTTCCTCCTGGCCTAGACTACTGAAATCTGTGCTCCTGGCTTTCTTTCCTACAGCTGTTGCTGCCTTTAGAGATAATTCCTAATTCTGGGACTCTCAGTTGAAACATCTGGATTGCTTCCTAGAGCAGGAACTCTAACTGGTCAGAAGCTAACTGACACTGCCAATGATTTTTTTTTTATTTATTTTTTTTTTTAATGTTGATCTTCATTCTGGTTTGTGTTCCTTCCTGTCTGCTGCAGGGCCATCTCCACCAGCCTTTTAATTTTTCTTCTTGATTCTCCTGAGCCTTTGTTTGCAGCTGTCTATAAATGGTTCTTGTTTTGTAAATTCATAATTTAATTTTTAAGTATATTTTTTGTACATTTCAGCATGTCCTGTGAAAATATAACTGTTCTTAACTTCTTTTAACTGTTGAAATATCATCTTTATTTTAACTGCATCTTTTACTCCATATTATTATTACGTTCCCAGGAATGCAAGTAAATTAATCTTTATGTTTTGATGCATATATTTTATATTTGAGTCTGTTTCTGTAACTCCTGCTACTGGTGGAACAGGTGGAGCACAGGCTTGCGTCTGTCATG